ACCCAGTATGTAGATTGGATAAATAGATTTGTAGTCCACCTCTCCATGTGAATTAAAACCTATTTCCTTTCTTAAAGGCATCTAGCTAATTTGCATATAGAATTGGATTAAAAAAATGTTTAAACTGCTTTGTACATCTGGCAGTGAGCTTACAGACGTTACATGCATAATTGTATTCGCGAATATTATTTGAGTACAAATAATTTCATTGTGAAAGTTGGACTACCTGAAATAATATTGTACGCAAAAATTGATAGCAACAAGAATATAGCAGTTAGCAGTATTTATACAGTCATTGTGTACAAATGATGTATCTTTTGTTTTTTGAATATTAACTGATCTTACACAGACAACCCGAATGACACCAATAGTAGTTCAGCCAGCTTGATTCTTGAAGAAATTGCATTCATGAAATGAATAATAACATCTACACTGAATAAATCAACTTTATTTATGTACGCAAACTTATTGGACGTAGTTTAATTCCTGTAAATTATGTTGTCATTAAGAAATCTCATAATATTATGAATGAATAAATATAATATACCATATCACTGCAGTCTGTCTTTGATGTCAACTCAGTACAATTAATGAAATGAAGTCATTCCCACAAAGTTCATCAATCCCCTGATTTGTGCAGTTGTTCTGGAGCATAGCGAGACTGTTTGGTCTCTGATCTTTGTGAACTAAGCTGGTGATGCGCCGGTTTAATTTTGAAATTCATTTTTAGAAACACTAAACAACTTTTCTATTGAATTGATATATTATTTCTCCCATATAGTGAAAGTATCAGTGGGTGATTCAGTATCTAAGATCCTTGATGTATGCTGTGATATGCATAAGGTATGGTAGGTAATCATCTAAAAATGCGCTGTTCGTGTCTATTGATTCAGCTAGCTTAGGTCTATGTTTGGGCATCTTTCTTTTCAACACAAACATGAGTGGAGGGAGTCAGACAATACTTGTTTTTTTTTTTAGCCCTTTTTGACTGCTGAAAGGGTCCATGAGTCCTCTGTAATAGTTGACCAGTTGGCATAAAAAGCTTTGAGCTCTGATGCCTTAGGGAGTTGAATGATGATCTACCCAGATCTATGGATCCATGCCTCTAACACATCTACTGGCACCTAAAAACGTGAAGATGGTGCATCTTCAGTCGGTACAGGAACCTGACAACGACCATGCTCAAAATTTTGGTTGCCATGTTTGGTACCATTTCGCCATATTGCGATTATCTCTTTTTGCAAATTTTGATGTTAGTACTTTGCCATTTCATTAGTCAAATATTAACCCAAACAACATAATATTTTCCAATATTCCGGGTTCTTAACCAATTTAAAAGACTGGGATTATGTAATTCAACACGTGTATATTAGAAACAAGGATGAACGCTGGTTAATTCTATGCACCTGCATCAGTTTACTACATCACCTACCAAAAAATCCATGGAAATAATAAATTTCATTTATTACTAGTTAGGCTTATTTACAGATTACAGCTCCAAACAGAAATTAGAGAATATACCTGGGTCCACAGGGAACACCCTAGGGTTACATTCTCTAAGCAAAAGGCCTTGCCTAAGGGGTCACCCCAGGGCGATCACCGCACACAAGGCCTGTATAGTTTCATTCTTTTTTTGTTTCTGGTGTATGAAGTTTGGAATATTTTTCCGCTACAGCATTTTACTGGACAAAAGAGGCAGATTACAGTTTGTTCACTGAGCTTCCTAGAAATCTGACTGTTCCGACATAACGGTAAACATATATGTTGTCATTTTTGTTATGGTCGCAAACAGGACAACAGGACTCAGGATTCTGCCTTGACGGAATTTGCGATCTGTGGCATTCTTGATCGTGGTAGCACTTTGAGGTGGGGCTGCAGCTGAGGGCAAGCGATCCAGAAAGCTTGTATGCATCACTTTTAAAACGGGAAATCCCTCGGCCGAAGCTAACGATGTGTCTGTTTCAGTGAGTGATGTGAGTGAGTGATATAAACTCATTATCATCATCAGCAGCATCATCACCAGTATCACGTCCTCCTACTGCTATGAAGCAAAACAAAACAAGAGAAGTCTTGAATACCAAATACTGAGCTTGAACCAGTTAGAAAAAAGCTTAAGATATCCCATTTCAATTTTGGTATACAAACATTGGACAAGCCTGTAAATTACAATGCGTGTGTTGCCAGAGATGTTGCATGGACAATATCTTGTAAAACAAACAAGTACCAATGTGGTCTGGCTGGAACTCCACAATAACTAATGATGATCTTCCTGTTCAGAAAATAGGCTATTTGGCAAACATCGGAGTCCCTTCTACAAGGCATGATGTTGTGAATGAAACTATGAAAAGGAATGTTACCCTTGCTGAAGAGTGTGAGAAAGATTACATTGCAACAACCTATGATCTAGCAATAGCCAAGCCAGCTTGCCAATTGCAGGGCACTGTGAGACCTAAGTTTGACAATGTGTTTACTACATCACCCACCAGAAAGTCTGTGGAAATAATAAATTCCATTTATTACTCGTAGGCTTAACTGCAGATTACAGCCCCAATCAGAAACTATTAGGGAATATACACTGTTCACAAAGAACACCTTAGGGTAGCATTCCCTATTAGGAAAAAGGCCTCTCTTTCGTTTCTGCTTAACAATGGCAGCAATATTTTTACGCTGCGCATTTTACAAGCACGACGAAAGACGCGTTACAGTTTTCTGACTGAGAATTATCTAGAGTACACAGTAATTACATGTAGTGTGGTGATTGACGCATTACCATAAAGGCTTTCCATTATTAAGGGGCCCTGTTTTTACCTGTTTTTAATTGAATTGCCGGCTCAGTTTACTTTCACCGGATTCCGAATTTTGGCATGGTGAATTTACTCGTTTTATTTTTCTATCTCACTTTCTTAATTTTTGCAGACTCTAATAAAATGCCTAAGTCTCAAAAAAAGACGGACGAAACGTAGGACATGCCCTTCCTGCTATACACTTGGGATCCCCATATGTGCTGTCATGCTTGCCTTAATTGCGTCAGGGACTCCGGGGTCTGCCTTGAGGGTATTTGTGATTTATGGAACTATAAAATGTGGCTGAAGGCTGAAGGCATGCGATCTAAGGCTGGTAGAGATCGCGGAAAGAGGGGGAAATCTCTTACTGCGGCTAGCGCCAGTGTGTCGAATTCTATGAGTGAGAAATCTTTCCCTACGCTTGGTAGTCAATGCGAGGCTCACCTCCGGTCGACATCCAAGAATTTGGGAGAGTTGTCACTATCTGGCTCCCTGCTCGAGGTGACGGGGTCGATGATTGAGACAAGACCTGCCAGAACAGTTTACCGATGGAGAATCTAAATTCTCCCAACATGGAGTGGGCTTCCTCATCGGATATTACCGAGGCTAATGAACACCGGCCAACCGCTTTCGCAGGGAGATCGCAGTTCCCAGTCACCACGGCGACTGACGTTGATAAATGGTGTGTTCCCTCTAGGGCGCCAACATCGGCACTAAGTCCCCCGGTGGAATTGGCACATATTTTAGAGACCAAACCTGTTCAATCCATCGGTACTTTACCGTTACCGATGCAGCCTGAGTGCATTGCGCTATCACAGGGACAGGCCCAGTTGCCTCCCTGTACGGGTACTAGTCAAGGTGGAAAACTACTTTCCCAGGGTGAAGAGATGGCTTGGACAGTCTGGATGCGTAATCTGGCTTCAAAAGTCAACTCCCTTCTGGAATCTCAGGGTAGGACTCAGGAGGACCAGGGGGGGGGGGGTTAGTCAGGTGGAGCCTTTCATCGGCGCTCTCCTCTCCCACTGCACGCTAGCCAGCTACTCTGGGCGTGTGACCCAGGCTATGGAGGGGGTTCAGAGGGCGATGGAGGGGGCGATTGGTACCCTTTCGGGGAAAAAGGACAAAAAGCTTGAACCTGTTTTCGGAGTGATCACGTCCAATGCCTTCCGTTGGGTCAATCGATACCCCATTGGGGCTATCGACCCGGACACTCACACAGTTCCACAGCCTTCTCCACAGGTTCCCCGTCCCGATCCCAGTACCTATACTTTTGTTAAGGCGGGTAGTGCGGATAGGGAAGGCAACGTTGTGTGGTCATTTGACCGGCACCAGAGCCTACTAGTGCATAGGCCTTACGGGCGGAACTTAGACTTATCAAGTTTTTAGAATGGGTTTCTCTAGCGTTAGAGCGCCAGCTCACCTTGCTCAGCAACGAACCTCGATTCTTGGGCAGATGGGCCAGTTCCTGGCCGCACAAAGAGTCGCTTTGTGAGATATCCTGCAAGTCCATGCTGCCCTCTTGGCAGGAGCGGTTTTGGCTGAGCGTGAGGCAGTTCTGGGTCTGTGCGCCTATCCTACTCCAGCGGGAGACGAGTTTGATCGCCTGCGGAGAAGGCCTTGGGGCGTGACCGGCTAATTGATGGCCAGTTAGTGGATGCAGTGAATGGTTTGGCATTTGCAGAAGATCAGCATATCCAATGGAAGCAATCGTCTCTGTTGGCCAAAGTAGCTAGTCCTTCTGGTCAACGGGTCATACCAAAACCACTCTAGGTAGTAAGTCTGTCGCTCGGAGCCTCAACCGACGAGGATCTAAGTGCTCATGGTCTCCTCCTAAGGAGCAGAAGAAGACTGGGAGTGGGAAGCGTCAACAAAAGCCCAAGTAACGTGGCATTGGTGGTGGGCGTTCTGACACTTCTAGGGACGGGGGGCTGCAAAGTCTCTTTGAAGGTTTTGCCGGCTGCCTGGACATGGATGGCGGTACAACTCCGGGTCTCTCTACCCTGGTTCCCGGGCTCAGTCTGCCCCTTTTCGTCTCCCATTCTGGAGGATGGAGTTTGGGAAGCACTAGATCCGAACCCCCATCTCTCCTTCCCATAGGATCGCGCCTTATGCAGCACATACCAGCTTGGTGCAGGAGGGTTTCTGATCCCTATACACTCGAAGTAGTGTCTCATGGGTATCGGATTCCTCTTCGGTCTCCTCCTCCCCTGACTCCTCACCCCCTCAGGTCTTTTGCCGAGGGATGAGGTCAAGGCAGAGACAATCCGACAGGAAGTAGCAAGCCTTCTGGAGAAAAGGGCAATACATCTAGTGGGGAAACCCATGTATCACCAGGGTTCTATTCCTGCATCTTCCTCGTTCCCAAGAGTTTTGGGGGTGGCGTCCAGTCCTAGACCTCAGTCGGCTGAACAGGTTTGTGGAACTCAAGCACTTCCGGATGGAAACATCGGCTTCGGTACTTCTGTCAGTGCACTTGGGCGATTGGTTGGCGTCGCTGGATTCGAGCGACGCTTACCTCCACATTCCTATTCACTCATGCAGCCGGTATCTCAGATTCCCAATAGAGGGCAAAGTCTACGAGTTTACCGCCCTCCCTTTCGGTCTGTGCAGGGCACCACATGTATTCACCAGAGTGCTAAGACAGGTGACCCAGCTGCTACACCAGTCATCGGTCTATCTGAACCCATGCCTCGACGACTTGTTAATACACAACCGAGACAGGGAGCATGTGGAGCATGTGCGGTTGACGCAGATGCTCCTGCACGAGTTGGGCTTTTTAATAAATTTTACCAAGTCCAACCCAATACTGTCCCACAGCCTAGTGTTTCTGGGTATGCAGTTCGACACGGAGCAAGGGCGTGTTTGCCCCTCTCAGGAGCGATGCAGCTCGCTTGTAGAGCTCGCTAGCCAACTCCGGTCGATGGGATCGGCGTCAATGCACGAACTAATGTGGCTTATTGGCAAAATGACGTCAGTTGCAGTCTGGTTCAGTTAGCAGCTCTCCGTCTCATCCAATTCAGAGGTACTTACTGGACTACATGAGGAATGAGGATTGAGGAACTTGACCTTCATAGTTCAACTGCAGATCCCCCCATGGGTGGCATTCCCGTTGTTGCTGGAACTTCTAGTTGAGTCACCAGTGGAGCTGCCGGATCTCCCGGATTTGTTGTCCCAGATGGATGGCAGGCTACCAATGAGCCCTGTGTTATTCCATCTTCACGCATAGAGGCTGTCGATAAACTTATGCAAGCGGAAGACTTTTCTGCAGAATTGTCCAAGTTCCTCGCTTCCACACAGTCAGACGGCACCAGACGGTTGTACGAATCCAGATGGAAACTGTACTCTGATTGGTGTGACGGAAGGGAGATTGATCATCTCAGTCCCTCTATTTTTTCCTTTATTTGTTTAATCAAGAGAAATCTATATCAACAATTCTTGGATATCGGTCAGTTTTAGTCCCAGTTTTATCAGAATCTGCTGGACTTAAACTGGCTTCGAGTTCCATTATGAGTCAACTGTTTAAGTCTTTCTGCTCGAAGAGGCCACGTGCCAAAGGGCTAACGAATCCTCCTTACTGGGACTTGTCGTTAGTTCTGTCGGTGTTACGACACCCCCCTTCGAGCCTATGGATAAGGCAGACATGAAGTAAGTCACTAACAGTTTTTCTTTTGGCTCTGGCATCAGGTAGGCGGCGCTCAGAGATAGGGGCACTGTCCTTTAGTGACAGATGTGCATCTATTATGAACTCGCAAGTTATTCTGAAGACTCGGCTGGGCTTACTTGCCAAGAATCAAATCCCAGGGCGCGACTCTGAGCTGATCGTCATCCCATGCCTCACTAACATTGTGGGCAAGGAGGATCATCAGGAACGGATTCTATGCCCGGTTCGAGCTCTGAGCTGCTACTGTGATCGTATCAAGGTGTCTAGGGGTAGTGAGAAGCGCATGTTTGTCTGTTACGGGTGGGGCAAACAGAGCCACCCTGCTTTGAATATCACCATTTCGTGGTGGATTGTTGATGGGTGTGGAAGCGTATAGGTTAACTGCTTCTTCATCAGTTCGTTTGGAATGCCACCAGGTGAAGGTACATGAGGTGCGCGGGACAGCTAACTCATTGTTTTGATATCTGGGGCCTCACTCGAGCAGGGTTCTGGAGATCCCAGAATGTCTTCATTAATTATTACCTGAGAGACCTCCAAGCACTGCAGGGCCTCTACAGGTTGGGTCCAGTGGTGACGGGTCAGACTGTGTTCACTGACCCAGCCCGCACCACCAAGGGGCCCTATGCGCGAAAGCATTAGCGCGATAGTGCCTTCGATCGAAACCAGCCTCTTTTGCTTGACGTTACCAGTTTTTGTTCGGCGCTATCAAACCCTAACAATATACTGTTTCGATGCATTAAAATTGTTGATGGCCCTATTTTTTTTCAGTTGACTGGCTTTAGTAGCCTCCCTAAATTGGGGGGTCTACCCGGGCACCCAGTCCCTGAAGAGTCACCTAATTGGTTTTATCCTGGGACTAGCCTCCTTGTTGGTGAGTAGCTTTAGATTTCTCAGTTTTTGTTTTTGGATCTTCCTTTTTGAGGTCGAAAAATATACATTTCAGCCGTAGGAACTTCCCCGCTCCGGTGAGCGTGCTACTCTGCCTACGAGTAATAAATGGAATTTATTATTTCCACGTTTCTGGTAGGTGATGTAGTAAACTATTTGGGTTGTACAAACCCATTTGTTTACCTAATCATACCATCCGTGGGAATATCAGATCACGCCTCGTTTGCATGACAACCCCGTGCGCGGCCTTTTTCCTAATAGGGAATGCTACTCTAAGGTGATCTTTGTGAACAGGGTAATAGTTTCGATTGGGGCTGTAATCACGGACTTTCTGGTAGGTATGATTAGGTAAACAAACGGATTTGTACAACCCTAATAATTTGTCTGTTTCGATGCATTACCATATCATGTTCCGGTATATGTCAGCAATGGGATACATCATTGATGGGTCGGGTACAGCCCACATATTAATGGAAAGTGGTGCCCTCTCAAAAGGTTCTTTGAATGCATTTCAATGTGGAAAACATTACAATCAGACAAGCAGAGTGCATGTGCTCCTCGCAACTGCTGGACGAGATCAGCAAGAAGTACTATAGTTGGGCATTTCTTTGACAAATCAGCAATAAGGAAACATGTTAATCCCAGTCATGAAACAAAAAAGTTAGTAAATTTCAAAAGAATTTTGAAACAAAATTTCAAACATGATGAAACTATGAATCCGTTTGCCAGCTCTTTGATCAATTTGTATTGTTTTGCAGATGGTAAAGAAATGCCATATAAAGTAAAAGCTGATATGGTAAGTAAGTTTGTTTTGGGGAAGAAGTGGAAAGACAAGTTTCTAAGGGGCAGAAGAAGACCGATAGCGGAAGTGTCAGAGGTGGTCCAAGAACGTGGCTCTAGTGACGTTCTAGCACTTATGGGGGCCAGGGAGCCACAAAATCTCTTTAAAGGCTTCACCGGCTTCCTGGGCATGGAAGGTCTGACCCCTGGATGCTCAATGTAGAGTCTCAGGGGTATCAAAGTCCTCTTCTGTCTCCTCATCCCCCTCTAGTCTTCTACTGAGGGACGAGGTCAAGGCGGACACAACCGGCAGGAATTAGCCAGGGTTCTATTCCCATATCTTCCTCATTCCTAAGAGTGCAGAAGAGTGTCTTGTCCTAGACCTCAGGCGGCTGAACGGGTTTGTGGAGCTCAATCGTTTCCAGATGGAAACACCTATTTCGATGCTTTTGTCAGTGCACTCGGGCCATTGGTTGGCATCGCTGGAGTTGAGTGATGCATATTCCCACATCCCATTCACCACTCTTGCAGCCGGTATTTCAGATTCCCTTTTGTGGGCAAGTTTAAGAGTTTACCACCCTCCCTTTCGGTTTGTGCACAGTGCCGTACGTCTCCACCAGGGTGTGTTTAGACAGGTGACCAAGCTGCTCCACCAGTTGTCAGTTTACTTGAACCCATACCACAACGACTGATAGGGGCACAACAGGGAGGTGCGATTAATGAAAATGCTCCTCTACGAGTTGGGCTTTCTAATAAATATTCAAACCCCATACCGTCCCACAACCTAGTTTCTTCTGCAACAGTTCCGTAAATGCCCTCTTGAGACGTATTCGGTTTTAGAACACCGAGTGGCAGATCCCCCAGTGGGTTGTGGATCACTGTTTTTTTGTCTCTGGCACAGTCCTCAGATAGATCTCGTTACCAATCACTGGAATGCCAAGCTCCTGGTGTATGTGTTTGCCACAGCGCTCTATCGATCTCTGGGAGTCCCATGGACACTTACTCCTTTCCACCCTTCCAACTAGTGCACCAAGTATTGGATAAACTGCGACCCGAGTCCACCTGCCTTCTGACACTGGTGGCGCCCAATTGGCCAGTGAAGGTCTGGTCTTAATGTTCCTGGACCTTCTAGTTGAATCCCCAGGGGAGTTGCCGGATCTTCCGGATCTGTTGTCCCAGCTGGACGACATTCTCCCGATGAGCGCCACATTGTTCAATCTTCAAGCATGGGGGCTGTCGACAAACTCATGCAATTGCAAGGCTTTTCAGCAGAGTAATCCAAGTTCCTCGTTTTCAGCACAGTCAGACGGCATCAGACCTTTGTATGAGTCCAGTTGGAGACTCTACAATGATTGGTGTAATAGAAGGGAGATTAATCATCTACATCTCTCTATTAGCGAGGTAGCTGGACTGAAACTGGCCTTGAGTTTCGTTATGCTACGACTGTTTAAGTCTTTCTGCTCGAAGAGGCTGCGCGCTACAGGGCATACAAATCCTCCTGACTGGGGCTTCTTGTTGGATTTGGCGACGGTACGACACCCCCTTTCGAGCCTATGGAAAGATCGACATGAATATGTCACTATGAAAACAGTTTTTACTTTTGGCTCTGGCACCAGGTAGGCACCGTTCAGAGATCGGAGCACTGTCTTTCAGTGATGAATGTCTCCTTTATGAACTTGCAAATTATTTTGAAGACTTGGATGGGCTTTCTTGCAAGAACCAAATCACAGGGCGTTACCCCAAACTGACCGTCATTCCATGCCTCGCTAACATAGTGGGCATTGAGGACCGCAGAGCTCAGAGCTGGTACTTTGATCTCACCAAGGCGTCTTGGGGCAGTGAGAAGCGCATGTTTGTCTGTTATGAGTGGGGCAAGCAAATTTCACGGTGGATTGGTCATATGTTCATGTAAGCGTACAGCTTAACAGCTTCTTCAACAACTAGTTGATACATTACCAGGTGAAGGTAATGCTGGCTTTGATCTGCGCTATCGAACCCAACCAATATACTTTTAATATATATTTTAATACATCAAAATTGTTTGGGTCCTATATTATTGTTCAGGCTTTAGTAAGCCTCCCTAAATTGGGGGGGGGGGGTCTACTCTAAAGGCATCCGATCCCTGAAGAGTCACCTGATTTCTTTCAGTTTTTTTGACCATATGTGTCGAAAAATGTACATTTCAGCTGTCTGAGTTTCCACGCCTCCAGTGAGCGTGGCTAATTTTCTGATAGGTGATGTAGTAAACTATTAGGGTTGTACAAACCCGTTTGTTTACCTAATCATACCTATAAGAAAATCCGTGGAAATCGCCCACCACCCACAAGCTTTCGAGCGGCTCGTTTATGAAAATGAAACTATACATTCCTTGGGTGTGTTATCGCCATGGAAGTGACCCCTTAGGTGAGGCCTTTTTTCTTAGAGAATTTTACTCACTTATGCTCCCTGTGGATCCGGGTATATTCTCTAATAGTTTCCGTGTGTGGCTGTAGTTAAGCCTAACGAGTAATAAATTAAATTTATTATTTCCACGGATTTTCCGGTACTTATGATTAGGTAAACAAACGGGTTTGTACAACCCTAATAGTTCAACACTATATGCAGCCTTCACCTTGCACCAACATGGATACCGGAGGATAAGGGGTGGTGGTTGTGAAATTACACTCCGCACACGTCAAAGAATAGTTGATAATGGTCATGTAACAAGGAAGAACAGCTTTTGGCAATCGAACATGATTTACATAGTTAAAGTTATTCGTAACATCCGTGTTACCGCGTTTATCTGTAGTATTAATTAACACTTAAACATAACTATATGTTATTTTTTCCATAACTCTTTTGTTGATATATATATATCAACCTTAACCCAATTGTGTGATCATAACGATCTCTAAGTATCACCGTTCACAATTCCCCAATGTTAGTGACCATATTACATGGTACATATTCAACAATGACTACAATGATTAAAATCTAATGACACAATCTTTGCAAGAGAATTTGAGAAATCCAGCTGTAACTCGCTATCACTAATCAATCAAACCTGATCATAGGATGACAATAATTTGTAGGAACTAATTTGGTATCACAGGTTCCTGATAAAATTCGGTTTTATTGAATGTATAAATTTTATATTCAAAAATTTGCTTTCCAAAATGGATGGAACAGAAGATTCCTCACATATCTGATTATCACTGAAATACAGTATTTGTAGTTATGTGTTCTGGAAGCTTTGTTTTAAAAAGAACTTAAAACGTGTTTTAAACCTCTTTCATCATTTCTTTTCTTAATGTTCTTGATTCTTGATTTTTTTTAGTGTTCGTAACATCACCGATTAAATTAACAATCTTAGACGATACTTGGGGGGGGGGGTATACACATTGCCGTGCTATTACACGAACAACTGAACAAAGCAAATCGGACAGAAAGCCAACAAGGCAATCAGAGTATAGTAAATTTCAACTTTACAATTACTTATTTTTGCAGCCACATTTTCCATGTCAATTTGCCATTGGGTTACACACATTATTACCCACAATTTACCCAGCGACGGTCTCCTCCAATTCTATTACAGATTTGGGGGTGACTCACTCATTTACTCCCTCTCATTTCTAGTTGCCTTATTTCGACTGATGCCAAATGTCTGAATCTGCAATTATTTATCAGACATAAAGTATAATGTTGAAAGTTTGAACTGACTGGGCCCACTAGTTGCTGACCAGCGTTCTGTTAATGGAGTGTGGCAGAGAGAAAAAAATTGATTGGCACCTGGGGTGCTAATTCAGTCTGTTGAGTTTCATCCAAACAATAGTGTATGATTTACTTGTGTGAAATTTTGGATTATCCCTGGAGAGGAGGAATTTGTGTATTCATTAAAAAGTAGGGTTAGGGTGACGGATACACTGTATACACTGTCTTTCATGTTCAACACACACACAAATATACTAATAACATAACGCATTTACTGTAACTGTATTTTATTACCACTAAAACATAATGTGTTGACTATTACTATTACATGTATTTTACATACGAATAATTTAAACCAAAGACCCGTCACCAACGTTGAATAAGTTATTGTAGATTTTCTCAATAACAGCGTCCTCTTTTTGGATTATATACTGCAACTATGGAGTGAACAACAAGTAAATTGTTATTGTTTGTTAACATAACAGTGTCAATTTCACTATAATTTTCAATAATTAACACTTTAAAAATAATTAGTCAGTTTAGTGAATTATTATGCAATATGAGTAGGAACACTGCGTCAGGGAAGTAAAATCTTGAATAGCTTCTGATTTTTTATGAAACTTTCACAATATGTGTGAATGCGAGTTATTAGTTGTAAGTTGCTGGCATGATTGAATGAGAATAAGTCGCACAATAAAAAAGACTTAGTTGTTCTTGAAAGACATACTACCCATGGAGCTATTCAAGATTGAAACTCCCCCACCAACTGAGAAACCAGCACGAAAATGCCTATTTAAAACAAAATCCTTCATTTTTTATTTTTAAATATGTTTTACTTGTGGCATAGCTAAAAATCAAAAAAGTGTGTAGTCAATATTATTATATTTATGAAGACAACAAAATCAAATAATCATCAAACTCAGATCGCTCACAAGCCCACATATATACTTTAATAAGTAAACTTATTAATTATGTGTTTACCTTCCTGGTACAATCCATTTGTCCCCGAATTCATCAGACTCAGTAACTAATTTCAGTGTCCCATTTGGCATCGGTATCTTCATATCATTAGATGGGTCCCCGTCAGCATTTCCCAACATGCCACACACTTTTCCAAACATAGATTTGTCCAGAACAGGAACAACGCGTCCTTTGCCGTTCCATGTCAATGTAAATGTTGAATCCAGTTTTGCTCTCACGTATCCTGCATTATCTCGTGTCACTGTAAGCTTTCCGAGTATCAGTGGAGTAAGAATGTTATGGATTTCGCCATTTATCTAGAAATGACATTCAAAATGTATTAGCCAATATAAATGAATGTGTATTATTTTTAGTAATTGTACTTACCCCGGTAAGTTGCATTAAATTATATGCTTTGTGATACCCAGAAAATATTTATTAAATAATACGTATATAGAACAATTCAAACGTACCAGGTAAGTACGTGTATTGGAAGAAAAGCTATTTTATGAGAACCTTTTTCAAACACAATGCACCATTTAATGTGTTATACATATCGACCGTAAAGATAGTAACGTACCCCTTCCTTTATATAGGAAGTATGATTTGTATAAGCTACTTCCAACACAGCAACATGTAACACTACCATCGCTACTAGTGATGGATGAGATTTTTCGATTGTCTATACAAATATCGTGTTGCGAGTATGAAGCAATGAATGAATGAATGAATGAATGAATGAAAGTGATAATGGTCACAAAAGTTGTAATACGTTACAAAGGCCAAATAAATATTAGGCTGCAAGTTGGAATAAATCAGATCATTGTACTAATCTTACTTTAGACCACATTACTAATATAACAACATACACATTCAATACAATACACTTTCCAAGTTTCAATACAATGACTGACGAAATACGGATCCATGATTTACGAGAATATTAATCCCTGGTATTTTTTAATAATAAAAGGCTCTGATTTGTGTTATTCGTAGGATTGTAGCAGCGCTGTTCAGCTCTTTTACGCCACTGGATAGTCATGCAACGTTTTAATTAATTATCTAATCGGGAAGTTAACTGATTGGTGGACACGGCTTAGCAATGTTAGAAATAACCGAAAGATATGTCTAGCAAGAGTACACATCAATGAAGAGAGATAAAATCTACTCACGTAAAGCCTGTCTTCAATCAAGGTAACACGGTCACCATTGAAAACAATCGAAACTTCAGTAACCACCATTTTCATAGCTTCCTGCAGATAATGGTATCTGATCAAAACAGAGAATGATGGACGAGGCACACACTCTTGAAAGAATACGTACTCGCAATCGCTATGGCCATTATACATATAATGAAAACCATCGAACGTATGAATTTGCGGATCTCCCTGTATACTGCCATTCCATGGTGGCCGTTGTGTTGGGCCTGGTGCTGTAATAGAGCATTGTTTTCAATACATGACTTAAGTACTACTTTTAAACTGAACTTGGTAATAATTCGATATCCTTGCAAGATAACTTATAAGTAAAACGATTTATACCGATTAATAGAAACGCTATTCGGCAATCAAATAATTTCTAGCCGATGTGTTTGTACTTCTTACAAATACTGCTCAGCGTTATAAGAGCATATAGTATACAAACCAACTTACGGGGTTCCACTGCAAAAAAAAAAAAAAAAAAAAAAAAAATAGAAAAAAATAGTTATAATGACAATCATTTTTAATCGAATTTGAATAAAACAATATAATGTAGTAATGCGAGAACTTATGTTAAGATTTGTGTATCATAAATTTTCTTACGTTTGCAGCAATTGCAGTATTTGGGGAATGGGCAGGTATCATTTAGTTTTCCAATGTGCTCGTTGTCTTTACATTCTCGTCTACACACCCCTCCAATCTTTTCACAGTCGGTGTCTGTAATTTCAAAGAAAGTGGTAATTGGTCTAATATACCATTTCAAAATTACACGCGTGTTCTTTTTTATTTTGTGTGCGTTTGCCGGTTCGTATATGCATGTGGGTACATGTACGTTAACACCCACAACGCAATATTTCGTAGTAGCAAATCTTATATTACAATTTAGTGATTACATTATAACTAGGTTTGTTAAAATTATATAATCATAACTTACGACAAAACCATGGACATATATCAATACCCTCATCTATATGACGTTTCAGATCTGAAACAAATTAATTGTCCAGTAGAAAGAATGAGTTATCGAAAAAAAACACGAATAACAAAGCGAATGACATTAATTTGTTAATCTTAATCTATACTATGAGTATGAATTCATATTATGTTTTTTCACAGCCCGAATCAATAGCACTAAGAAGTGTTATGGGATAACCGCTGTAGGAATCACGTTTTTAGTGAAAAGAGCTTACCACCATCTTTAGCGCACCACTTGCATCCCGAGTCATCACAAGGTAAGGTAGAAATGTTATAGTCACATATTTCAGTCGTGTTAACTAAACACGACGATTGGCATGTAGCATTAACCTCAGTATCAGTGTTGACGTCGACGGTGGTAGAATTATCAATCGCTACAATGCAAAACGAAATAAGTTTAAATATATACAGACCGCAGGCTAATTAATTCATCACGTTAAATCAGAAAACATATTCGCCATACTCACCAGAACAAGCCGGCATAGCACCTGCGAACATAATAGAAGAGTACGTAAAAATGACATTGAAAATATGTTACCATACATACATGCATACTGAAATTTGAGTATTTGTTTAAAAGTAAACCGCATACTTTGTAATATACATATGTAGACGAGTATTTACGCGGCTCTTTGGTCATTGGACCTGAATACTAAGACGACAAAATGGTATTTTCTATGTGCATATACATGGAAATATATCACTTCTGGGATGGGATATGTGATCATCCTTGAGATCTGTTTCACATATAATGAACCATACTGTAAATAGATAAGCATTTGGATTGATTTCAATGGATACTTTCTTGACAAAAACGTGCTATACTATGTACCAATGTAAACCTATCGCTAGAAATCATAAACTCGTAAATGCAGCTTATGTACAAAAAGTATGAAAAAGTTAGACGACCCGGTTGAAATGGGCCTTAATATTTTGCCACACAACGGCTAAACGCCGGTGAAACAAATTCGAAATTATGTCGCATTGGAACTATTGTAAAAAGATGCAGCTTTCATCCAACAACAGATGAGACGGTCGATGGAAATTATACGAACCCCGACTTCTCGAAATGCCTCATTCATAGAGTGCCTTAGTACCAGAGGTGGCCGAGCACGACCAAACAACGTACTTTGTGACATCGCTACCGGTGCATGCTAGCTGGATAGGGGGTTTCCGATTAAGGTAACCAAGATGGCATCACGGAGTGCATGAGCAGCATCTCGTTGCCGATTATTCTGTAATTTCCAGGGTATTTTTTTCTCAATTTTTATTTAACGGAGCATTTTACATTTGTGTTTTTTTATATGAAAAGTTAGTTATCGATGACAGCAACAGCTGTAGTGTTTGTCCATTGCATCGCAATTCTATCACCACGGTGATCGTTGCAGCGAAACCTAAAAATGTTTACTTCAGTGTTAAAATGCCTTTGGAGTAAAAAATATGTGGAAACATTTTTGAAAACGAAATTGTCGCCTTGTTTTGCGCGAAAATCATAATCGCGCTATCAGGCCTTCCTCTTACATAAAAATAAATGAAATAAAATAATTTAACAGTATTGTTGACATGCTGCGAGATAAGGATGAACCAGTTTACTTATCATTTACAACTGTATGTTTTGTTTCATTCCGCTTGCACGCTGGAAGCGTCTACGTGTTGTCTGTTTTTTGTACTTTGCGAGGCTAGTTGGTCGCATTTGAGGTAAGTAAACAGGGAGCCAGGACAGGAAGTCACACATCGCTGCTCCGTAACCGAGGCCAGCAACTCATATGCATGTAACATCAACAGTGACTTGTCAATCAAAGAGCAAATAGCAACGCAAACTTTCGGGACTTTTAATCACATACGCGTGTCCCGATTCTCCCTATATTTTTAAATCGTTGTTCGAGTATGTTCCAACATTGGCAATGCTCCGAAATATTAAAACTATTTAGCTAAGACTGTCTGGGCGAGAATAATAAAAAAATCACTCTAAGTGCCCATGAACCTGCATTTCTACCTAAAATTAACAATATATACTTGTCAGTTATTTTGGACTTATTTGTTGATTTTTTTAATTTAAGTTGTAAAATTCCTTTTATGACCACAACTTACATACCGTATGAGTATCGTGTTGCTTTTACTTTATTAATTACATCTCATGCAAATCATATTTTTTTAACATTTAACCCGTTGCCATTAAGTGTTTGTAAATAGAATTCATATCACGTGCATTAACTGTATAATAAGGTGTAACTCACGAGTTTGTTTCGGGAAAACCCATTTAGAAAGTCCATCCTATACAAACAAAAATATGCAAAATTAAGATGATATATTTAAATTATTCATAGCTTGTTGTTCATGTTGCATTACCATGGTGACTTTGATTGGAAATGATGAAATTAAATTGTAAAAAACCTCACTGCACGTGGTCAGCGTCAATGAGGCGACGACTAAAAAGCATCGTAATATAACAGATGACATCCTGAAAATAAAAAAAAAAATTGTGAAACAATGGAATCGAAATTAGGTTTATTCAATTATTATTCAACGTGGTAGTTCGATCTAAATAAAAATAAAATAGTAATCCCTGTAAACTAGTTTGTTAATTGTGCAGTCATAATTAATATTTCAATTCTGAATTCTAGAAATGGGTATCAGAATATTTAATTAAACAAGCTTTGACCACATCTTTACCATATATTGCTTATTGAGTTGAGTATATTGACAGTGAAGTACAGAATGAAAGTAGAATTTAGATTATATTATTGATGTTTTGCTATCAGAGTGTTAGCCAGGATGACCGAATGCAATCAAATTGTTCATACGTACACGCACAATTTGTCTTGATTACGGTAATGTGTGGTTAGTAAAAAAATTCTGAATTGTCGGCAATAATACTAGAGTACTTTCGAAAATTCGAATTTGATACAACTATTCTCATGACAGAGACAAATATATATCACATATCAATTACAAGCACATATCGAACATATAAATATGTAAAAATCGAGATTCGAACTCACAACATACATGTATGCGCATCGTTACTGTAAGCAGATACTCTCGGTTACACTACAATACACTGTCTTTAAATTACATACCTTAAATATGTGAATGCATACACAGGTTCAGCTTCCCTTGCACAATTGCACGGGGTAAAAATTATAAAAATATATACAGTTTATAGATGTACACCAACTACCATATAAGGGCACAGGAAGTAATCCGGAAAAGGGTGGACATCCGTGTACCATGTGTGTATTAATATGAATTGTGTAATCCCAACAGAATGGCACAAGGCGTATTATATATACATTGTAAACCACTACCTGTTGTGTGGTCAGTAACCCCGGCCGAACTTTCAATGACATGCCGCATATTACAGTAAATGTGTGAATACATGCACGTATCAAGCTTCCTTCTGCGCAGTCGCACGATTATGAAAATATATTTTTTGTCCTGAAACAGTTTATAGATGTATCCGATTAACATATATAGACACATGATGAAACCCAGAAATGAATGGACGTCTGTGTATCATGGCTGTATTGCGATGTCGACAGGAATTAATCACAATTACTGGTTAAGCAGTATTAAGGCATACGTAAACACTACCTGTTGTCCGGATTCAAGTGGTCAGTTACCTCCGATGTACTTTTAATGACGTTTCGTGTTAGTGTTTAGGCTTTGAATCCAATTCATATCAATATGAGGTCGATTAACATGGGTGTGATGTGATGTCACCATGGCCATTTAATTAGACTATGACTTGGGATGATATTGTTTAAAATATATTATATAAGATTTCCATATTTAAATCCAATCGGGATGCACTAACGCTATGGGAAACTTTAGATATTTAAGATATTACGAGGATAAAACACTTTATCGTGAAATGCGATGGTCTGTTTTCATCTTTGCAGTATTCTTGCAGGCCATAGCGAGGCCAAATGATTGCATTTTCCCCGCAATCCAAACTGTGGTGATAATTACCTCTCGCAGTCATGAAGCGAGATGATAACATCACAATAACCTTAATATTATAAAAGTTCACACCAATACGTAAGCTAAGCCTAGTAAACCGGATACCTTGCGTAGCGCCCTCAACCCATCGATCGAGAAACCATATTCAGCCTTAGGTATACAATATGTTACTTCTTCATCTGATGCTGAATGTGGCGACAGAGCTGAAACCATACAGTGCATTGGCGGGGAGATTTTCCGCATTCGAAGAGCAGTTTTATTTCTCTGCTCACTGTTGAACCGGTAAATTATACTATTGGAAGAGGGCGGGGAGATTTTTGCGAATTTGGCTGGGTATTTTTATATTTATTTATGGAGTAGGTAGTTTACAAAGGGCCACTAAACAACTCCATACATTCACTTGAGCACATGTATTTTGTTTGTCAGTGTTTAGTTTCGATACACCACATAGCCTGAGATCTCTCACCGAGAATGCGTTCTCTTACCCGCTGTAACAAGCATTATTTCGTAATTTTCATCATTTGTTTTTATCAACTGTTTTATCATCGTCTAATAACTTACACACGTGGCGGTACACCACTTTGTCACAGTAGAAGCGGGGTAATACTACAATTATAATAGCAGAAAATATTTGTTGAAATATTGCGAAATTTCTATTGTTTGAATAATAATACTTTTGTGGAATGTATGGTTATTATCATATTCATATTTTAATTGTGATTATTTTTTACCCTGTTGTCTCTAATAGTTGATGTAGAAGATGAAATGTTATTAAATTGAATATGTGTGTCACTGGCATATCATTTTATATATTTGTTTTCCGCATTTATGATTTTCCTCGAAAAAGGTGTCTGTAGTGAACAACTGGCGCGTGAAGTGTTTTTTCTGCTGCCAGTGGAAAATTACTGTTTCTAGAGAATGCATCGATATGCAAATTGTGAACTCCAATGCATAAACTAACTCGTCAATTACAGTAAAGATATCATGTTCTTTTTCACTTGTATACAATTCAGTGTCAATTTTGTTAAAGAAAACCACGTTTTATACCAACATGACAGTAGGCTGTCAGAATTAGCAAATTTCTTTACTTGTTTTGTCATAAACTGAATTGTCGTTGTCAATAATTACCTCTTGATTGTTGGTTGAGGCAATAGTAGTCACGTGGGCAGTGAAGTTTTTTTACCGACCCAGGTACGTTTTATTAAGCGAAAAGTAGACCATATTGCACCATTACTATTTAAATATAAAGTTCATGATATTCCCAAATCTTCATTATCTTACCTCAAAGTTTGGTTACAGCTTCTAAACCTCTGTCATCACATTGAGCGTTACAGAGAGAAGTAACAGTTTGCATGGCTTTGGCTGAACTGATGTAGTGTCGGGATCGACTGACTGAGGGTGCTACTCACGCTACCCATTCATACTAAGCTTAGCGAGGATCAGGTAATGGCATAAACTCTTATGAGAGTGTGGTTATTTTGTGACGTTATCACGTCGCTATTATAACTGTGGGCGGCCACCACCTCGCAGCTAGCATTGCGAGGCGAAATAAATGCATTTGTTCACATGGGCTTTGGATAATATTGTGCTTTATATTGGTCCTTGCCCGTTGAATTGAACACTTTACATTCAATCATTTATTTATTCAAATCACAGTCCCTCAATACTAACAAACAACTCACCAGAATTGTGTTTTGTTGACCTTTGTGTGATTGGGCTGACCTCCATTTCTCCAATTTTACATTTGTAGAGAGATGCTGTCAAAAGTATATAAAAATATGTTCATATTTAAATTGTGTAATTATCACATAAGAAATTAGGCAGGATTGAAAAAACAGCCGTTTAGTGATAGAAATAACAACAAACTAACAGTATGCTAAAAACTTACTCATCTGTGGGGATATATTATATTAGGTGATTTCACTGAATAGATTTTCTAAAATGTTGCCATAAGTGGCATAAGTTCTTGTTTCATGATTTTAAAAAAACATGTTCATGTTGTTCAGTGATGCCCAAATAGTACAAGCGTGAATACAATGAAAGTGCGATTTTATCTATATACTAGTAAAAACAAATTCGCACCATCAACCATGTTGGAAACAAATGGATACGATCTCAATAGCTGTTTAGTGATGTATCGACAGTACAAGTGGGATTTTCTATACAGAAACAAATTCACACCATCTACCATTTCAGAAACAGATGTTATGTTTGATATTTGGGTTCCTGGAAAATATGGGTTTAGTTTAAGTATTTTCGAACATTCAATATAATGACACAGACCTAGAGATCAATCAGTAATTTTTCACAAACAGCGTTGAACGAACTGGATAACACACACCCCCTGAAACTACGAACAACTTGAAGGAATTGTTGTGGTGAGAATTAATAAAACATATTTTTATATCCTGGTTGTGGACACTCTTCACATGCCCACGAAATCCACTTGCACTCTTGTACTTTTTTTCGCAAAAAGGGCATACATAAACAAAGTTGAGCTTTTTTGATCTTCAGGTTGAACTTGAAGTCGATCCCGTGGCCATCGGTGTTGACAGCGATTCAACAGACTTCTCGGCAGCTCCAACAGAACCATGGTCTCCTGGTTCTTCTTTAAAACCAATCGATTGTACTGTCATCAAAATCGACGAAATTGTCGTGTTTTTGCCACATTGCGTTGTAATTATAAAAATTATTCTAATCAGAAAGTGAATTTGCCAATCGATAAATGAATCAAAACAAAAAATATACGCATGCGCTGAAATTAATCGCAAGGTGTTTTGGGTAAAATTATGTCATATCTTATGCTAATTTTATGCTAATGCAGAAGTAACAGGCTTAAGGTTGTTGTAGCCTCGCCCTTCAAAACATTGTTCACCTCACACGGAAGGAGCATATTATTATCCAAACATGCTGTCGGGAATATATGTGCTGATCATCACAAAAAACAGTTGCATACTGATTTGCCACCCCACCCTTTGTAAGCACCCTTATCAATACTTTGCATATTTATTGAACGATGATGAAACAGTTGATAAAATAAAATGAACTTATCAGCCTCTGGCGCAAAACCACGATCGGAGAAAAATTCCTAGTGCTCTGACAGACAGAAAGTGACGAAATAATAGTCGTGACGGGTAAAGAGAACACATGTCCAACTCGGTGAGAGATCTCAGTGGTCAATCGAACGTAAACACTGACAAACAAGATACATGTTCCGAAGATTTATAGTTGCTCATTGTAAACTATCCACTACATAAATACATATAAAAATACCCACCCAAACAAGCAGACATTTCCCCGCCCTCTCCCCAAGTTATATTTTACCGTTTTATACCTGTGTGTAGAGAAATAAAACTGCTCTCCAAACGCGGAAATCTCCCCGCCCACCACAATGTCTGAATTCATTGCCTGGTGTCAGCTGCTAAAACTGTGTCACCACATTCAGCGTTACAGAGAGGAGTGACATTTTGCATACCACAGCTACGATGTCTTAATCGATAGGTTGTCGGCGCTACTCATGCCATCCAGTTATACCAAAATCAGCTAAGAACAGCTATTGCTATAAACGTTTATGATAATGAAGTTAGCTTGCCTGGCTAAAGTTTCAATTCATACCAACCGTCATATCAAGAGACAACACAAACGTTTCAGAGATTCTTTTGCAATTAGTATTCGCAGTATCAAATCTAGTCTTGAAGCGGAATTTGTCTGAAATTTAGTTTATGTAGAGGATGCTTTGTGTCAAAATCAGGATGACATACTTCACATTTAATTGTAAATATAGCAAGTACTTAGAGACTCCCGTTTCGGAAACGAGTTGCTTTAAAACAGATATTTGCTTTGACTTGCTTGTAAACCGAACACAAGTGCAATGTATTTGACATTAAATTCAGCACAGACACATTAGTCAAGAGTTTTGTCCACTAGGTGGGTTATATTTGCACAGTCTTGCAGCAGCGCTTATTTGTTATGTTATTTGTTCTATGTTTCAAATATTTTAATTTGTCTTTGGAAAGGGTGGCGGTACCCGCTTAAATGTGAATCGTGTCACTTGCCTGCCTTCATGGTTTCAAGGTGTTTTTTGTGTGTACTGTTAGATGATGTCTTTTCTCTGTGTTTCTGGTGGTTGAATTTTTCACTTTCTTT